CACACACACACACACACACACACACACACACACACACAAACAGAAATCTCTTAGAACAGGTCTACTTTGAACGTCTCACAGAAATTAATGTGATTCTCTAATATGAAACTTTAATAAAATGCCTAATATATAAAAACCTTGGGGCAGTAAAACAAATCACATCAGGTATTCAGAAAAAAAAAAAACAAAAACCAAAAACAAAACATCCTTATGTATTGGATAATTCTACCTTAAGTAGAATTAATGTTGCAAGAAGACTTGTGCTTGGTAAATCATTTTTTGGTGTTTTTTTTTTTAGTAAGCTTGTTCTAAAAGCAGATGTATAAAAGGAGGCAGGATGAAAAGGCCCTACAGCTCTTTTCCATTTGCCTGTTTTCATCTTGATTACAACCCTAGAATAGATGCGCCGACTGAGCGAACGTCTCTGCTTTAGGAAAATGTATCAAAAGATTAAAAGCTTTGTGGTTCTGTGTGTGTGTAAAAAAAAGTGTGCTGTGCTCCGACTCACTGTCCAGCCTCCTCCATCAGTAGTCATGTCGCAATAGACCTGGAAGCCGGTAGGGTGGTGAAGAGGAAACACAGAGTAGATGCCATCTTCTCTCTGACCACTGGCATAGAGATCACCACAGTCCCGAGGGCGTGAGCCTTGAAAAAATGTAAAAACAAGAATTCATTTAAATAAGAACAGGTGGGTTTAAAAAACGTATGCAAATGTAACCATTATATCCTCTGCTTATGGCCAGACAAAACAGGGGCATGCAGAAGATGCAAACAAATAAAAAATATATTCTGAATAATAAAACTAGTATTCCTTTAAGAAATGCATATTGCCTACTGAATTGCAATGACTTGCGTAAATGTTTAGTGCTAAGGTTATGTGTTGTGTTGTGTTATCTACCACAGCACAATTTTTTTACCTCATCATTTTCAAAAGTGAATAAATTAAATATATTTTTTATTTGTAATAAATGGGGAGACCATCTTGGATCTAGTTGATTCCTACAATTAATTAGTCATAAATGTGCATTGAATAACTACTTTTTGAGTTTTCAATTAAAACTGATCAAGTGGGTCATGGGATGTTTTGTTAAAACACAGAAAGCACTGACTCCAAAAGATGATTTCAAAGTTGTTGTTTTAACAAAGATATGTGTATATTTTCAAAGTATGAGTTGAAAATCATTCTTAGCTACTACCACACCAAATCTTAGCTCATCTCCATCTTCTGCTGATTCTCCGTTGTTGAGTTATTGTGGTAGCAGGTCCAGGAGATAAATCCAGACATCCCTCTCCCCAGCAACACTTTCCAGCTTGTCCTGGGGGACCCGTAGGTGTTCCCAGGCCAGACCGGACACATAATCCCTCCAGCGAGTCCTGGGTCTTACCCAGGGCCTCCTACCAGTGGGACATACCTGAAACACCTCTAAAGGGAGGCATCCAGGAGGCATCTTATTCAGATGCCCAAACCACCTCAACTAATGTCTTTTGATGTGGAGGAGCAGCGGCTCTACTGATGACAGAGCTTCCCACCCTATCTCTGTGGCTGAGCCAAACCACCCTACAAAGGAAGCTCATTTTGGCCGCTTGTATCCGGGATCTCGTTTTTATAATAATGTCATGACCACAGATGGGAGTTGGAATGTAGAAAGACCAGTAAATCCAGCTCTTTCTTTAACACGACTGACTGAAGCAATGGCCTCATTACTGAGGATGAGGCCCCAATTTGTCAATCCATCTCCCGCTCCTCGCTACCATCACTTATGAGCAAGACATCCAGATACTAAAATTTCTTTACTTGATGCAGAGACTCTCCCCCAACCCAGAGGGAGCATTCTACCAGCCTTCCAAGGCAGTAATTAATAGGAAAGATTTTTAGCAACTTATCTTCAATAAAAAGCTCAGCAATAAGTAAAAAATAAAGTAAAATAAAAAGTGTGATTTTAACGCAGCATAGCAGTAAATGGAGCCTTTGCTCCATTTACCAAAAAGACAGAGAAAGACAGATATGTGTAAGTCACAATGAGACAAAGAAGCACAAAAATGGAACAGAGATGCGGGGTTAGAAGCATATAGAAAAGTTAGTTGTGGAAAAAAAAGTTACAGAAACAAAAGCAAAAGACATGAGGGAAAAAAGAAAAGATAAAGTGTATGAGTGAGACAATCCTTCCAGAACACACACACAGGATGGAAGAGACTGTAGAACAGGCAGAATTGAAGGAGAGATGATGATGAGGAGACAGCGACAGATAGAGCTCGTAGGCTGGAGACGAGTGGAACAGTGGCACCCTTGTCTGTTGCTATGAAGCTCTTCTAACCCAGGGGATACTAAACCAATTCCCAAGGAAGCAAGAAAGAAACTCTGTGATGGGAACACTGTTGTAGATTATGCATGCAGACTTCACAGGGTCAAACCCCTGAATCTGAAATGGCTGAGCGAGTTCTTTAAAAGGCTATACAAAGCTTTTTTTTTTCAGCCTCTACATGATGTGAATCACTTGCCTCCCGTGAAGCTTTTTTTTTTCCTGTCTGCCAGCGTAGCGCTTAACTAATAAGTTTTACCTTTCATCTTTGTCACACATAAATGGTAACATCTCCCATCCCTCCTTTTCATCACAGGAAAATGAAGCTGTCCATGGTGCATTTAAAAACGACTGCTGTCATTATTAAGGGTGCTAATGCATAAGCACTAAAGCAACCCTCATTGTTATTTGGCTCTTAATCTTTGTGTAGTGTAATCGTAATTATTGTGTAGAATTCACTACTCCTTCTGAAGCATTAAAAAAGGATAAAATAAAAATTGATGCAAAAATACATCAAAACATGGCTCAGTCAGAAAAAGAGAGTTTGGACTTACGGTAGCAGTTTATCATTTCATCCTTTATCATTTCATCATTTATCATTTCATCATTTTGAGCTGCAATTGTTCTTTGTCTTAAAGTCTTAAATTTTCATAGCTTCAGGGTAAAACCCTGCAGGCACATGAAGTAATGTATTTAACCACAATTTAAATCAAAGGTATCTAACACTCTCACACATTTTACATTTGTTAAGAGGGAAAGTTATTATAATCTTGAGGTACTAGAGATGTTTATAAAAACTAAAATTCAAACAAATTTGAAGGATCGATGTACTTCAGTCCAAGGCATAAGACTGAAGATGGAATATTCTGGAAAGAGATTATAACAACGCTGGTTCAATGTATTTGTTTAAGATAATGATATAAGTTAGTTTGTTAAAGAAAATGATTTTGTGTAATGTGTATTTATAACAGCTGTTATTTGTGAAGGAGTTGAAGTTTGTGTGTTGTTTTGTTACTTGAACATTATTATTGTTTGACATTATTTTTTGGAAAAAGGGGCAGATATTATAATATTTTTCTTCTTTCTGCTGCCTTTCATTTCACTTGTGATTTGTTTTTTTTTGTTTTTTTTTTTGTTTTTTTGTATATAGCACAAGATGTGGAAAATTTTCCGTTAGTGCAACGAAAATTTGAACATGTGACTTTTACTGTTGTATTCTCACAACATACAACAAAGGTTAACCGGCTAAAAATAAGTTTCTAACAAAAGTAACTAAAGTTGATCTCAGGGGGAGATAAAAGTTAAGCTTTTATTAAATAAAAACTTTTATTAAATAAAAGCTTTTATTTAATAAAAGCTTAGCTAAGCATGAAAAGTGGTAAAACTGCACTTTTTACTGCCAATTCTACCTGACGAATTGAATTACTAAATTATGCTTGTTTTTACTGACTTCAGAGTTTTTTTTTTTTTCAATTTTTCTCATTATTATTTTTTTCACAATAAACCACTCCTTAGTAGGCAAAACAAAATAAAATCTCTAATATTTCCTGTTGTTTATGGCAATGAATGATAGTATATGTCTAAATGCCTTTTTGACATTTTGGATTTTCTATCTTGAGAAATGCAATTTATATAAAAGGCAGAAAAGCCTCTTAAGACAGTTAAGCATTGTAGCTTTTATTGTGAGTAAAACAAGTAGTTAAACCTTTGTTTTATTTTTTTTTCATTTGCTAAGTACTATTGTTATTTAGTGTTGAAGCATTACTGACTACATCTCTGAAAAGTGCTTGTCATCATTACACTAATTTTAACCCTGATAAATATATATACAGTATTATTATTATTTTTTGTTTACATTGCCTACTTTTCCTTAGCTTATCTGATAAACTACATACACTCACTAATTATTCACTGAACATGATACACTGGCACTCATTTTCAGACCATTTCTCCCAGTTATGACACCAAATGCAGCCATGTTTTTCTGGTGCTAATTAAAGCCTACACACAATATGGTGAACACATGCCACATTTATGAGTGTATTATACAAACATTTAAATCTCAAAAATCATCCATAAAGTTGGGGGGCTGTATTTTTCACGGGAGTACATTTTGACAGATTTTTTGCTTTTCAACACAAGTTACATGAGTAAAAACATTTTTCTTTCTTATTAACTGTGAAGATGTAAAAAAAAAAAAGATGGGTTATTTTGCTGATGTCAATTGTAAAAACACAACGTAGGATGACACAGGGTTTTGCGTCCAGATGTAAGATGGTTCTGTAATACCTGGAGCATTTTTTATCACTTCAATGGAAAAAGAACTTAATATTAGTTTCTTAATTTCTTCATCATCAGTGATTTTTTAAAGTAAAGCGAAAATATAAAAATAGGGGAAAAACAAAGAGAAAATG